GACAGCCCCACAACATTACTGCTCTAGAGGAGATCTGCATGGAGGAATGGGCCAAAATACCAGCAACAGTGTGTGAAAACCTTGTGAAGACTTACAGAAAACGTTTGACCTCTGTCATTGCCAACAAAGGGTATATAACAAAGTATTGAGATGAAATTTTGTTATTGACCAAATACTTATTTTCCACCATAATTTGCAAATAAATTCTTTAAAAATCCTACAATGTGATTTTCTGGATTTTTTTTCTCATTTTGTCTCTCATAGTTGAGGTATACCTATGATGAAAATTACAGGCCTCTCTCATCTTTTTAAGTGGGAGAACTTGCACAATTGGTGGCTGACTAAATACTTTTTTGCCCCACTGTATGTATGCATGTGTGTTATGTACATATTTATATAAAATACACATACATACATATATTTTATTTCAATTATATAAATATGCATTATGCAGAAAAAATTACGACACAACATAAATTTTTTGTCAGTTTTAACCCACTGAAAGTACCAAGACTACCTCAGCATGACAAGTCTAAAACATTGACAAGCATGATTTGCAAACAAATATAAATACATATGCATGATCAGAAAATCTAAGATGTAGTGCTGACCCAATATAACAAGACAAATGGAACAAAACTCTCTTCTATCGATATCGTTGCGTAGCACCCATTAGATGATCCCTAGCTAATTTTTCAGCCATTTTTCAGTCATCAATTTCCATAGTCATTGAGGAATCAGAGGGAATCGATGCATGAAGCCGCGTCTCAGCAAGTGGTTGTTAAAAGCCCTAGCAATTCAACTCCCTGCTGCGCGCTTATGGCCTTGCCAAACTCTCTGACAACATCCAGGAAGAATCTTTTATTGGTGAGATGGGCTTTCGGCAGCAAGTTTATGAAATGAACCTGTCCTCATCTAAAATTATGCCACAGTAATTATTCTTGGCCAAAGTGCAAACAGAACAATGCTTTTTTTTGTGTAAATCTTGTTTCAAGAATTACTTCTGAATCTGCACAAAAAGACTTCCTCAACAACCCCCCCCAAAAAAACAAATACACGTTTACAGGGTGTCACTTCTCAAGCTGTGATACATTGGTACCACACCATGCCATGGTATTCTTTGAAGTACATTAGAGTGCTATGTAAATACCATTGTATGTGAATATGATAATCATTTAGTGCCATAAAAAGCACACATTGGTACTGGACACTGGACTCACTGTGGGTGGTTTTTGTAGACTGATCCATCCACGCCGACAGTGGTGCGCAATCTCTCTGCGGCTTTGTTATCTCGAATCTGCCGTAGGACAGCCGCTAGCGTGGCAGCACAGAGGTGGGCCGCACGTGTAGACACAATCTGACACACTCGCTGCGTGGCCACGCAGTCTTCGGGGGACGGGTCTAGTCCGAGTCCTCTCAACACCTGCTCTGCACTCACCAGACCCTCGTTATTCCTGCAGAAGAGAAAGTCATTTCTGATGAATTTGGAGGTTTGCATGAATATCACCTTAAGGGCAGACACTTGTACAACATCACTTGTCTTTAGCTGTTGCAAAATAGTTTGCTTTCATATTTTGAATGTTTCTTGGACAATTTTTAATTTTTTTTGGACATTATCATTCCAAAGTTTGGGTTCAATAAAATCTTTATTAAAAGAATTAAAAACTTTTATTCAATGAGGATGCATTAAATTGATCAAATGTGACATTAAAGACTCCTACAATTTTCAATTTCAAATAAATTTTCAAATAAATCAAAGGATCCTGAAAAATGTATCACGGTTTCCACAAAATTATTAAAGCAACCGTTTTCTACATTAATTTCCTTGTCACCAAATCAGCATTTTAGAATTCTTTCTGAATGATTTCTAATGGCTGAAGATTCAGTTTTGTTATTACAGATATACATATATTAAGTTAGAAATTATTTATTTTAAATTGCATTAATATTTCACTATAGTAATGTTTTTATTGTATTGGTGATCAAATTAATGCATCCTTGGTGAGCATAAGAAACTTTCAAAAACCAATCCAAAAAATTCTTACTGACCCTTTTTTGAACGGATCCAAAAGTCTGATATTCTCAGATCTAATCATACAAGAATGAAATCAGTCATTAGGTTTTATAGAAAAACCTTGTGATGTGTGTTTCTGTGTACTATTCTTGTTAAATAAAAAGAGCAACAAATAACACTGAAATCTCCAATCAAATCATTATGATGATCTTATCTGTAATAAGTAAAAAATATTTCCACTTGTCGTCAGACTTTTGGATCCTAAAGTAGATATACATAGACACATATATATATTGTCCTTGGTAACAAAAATTAAAAACACAGTTTTTTTGGGTGATGTGATATGCCAAGATCGTGCATGCAAGCTAACATTATTACTTCAGCATCTGATTTAATTATATTTTCATTATCTACAATTAACAAATATTATAGATAATGAAAGCATGTGGCACATTCCAAGATGGCGGCATGTCTTTTTGTTGTGTTTGTTGAGCATGTGGTTGTCTAATTTTGTATTGTTTTCGTTTGTTTATACATTTTAAGACTCTACTTTTAGATATAAAAGAAGAATTCTAAAGGTTTTAGAAATTGAACAAGGGACCGTGTCAGATTTTGGACTTTCTGAAGCGGATCTTTCTCAACTGGATCTATGATGTGATCTCTTTTGGCCTTAAAGAGTATCGCACCTTAAGGGATGACAAAGACGGGCTTTGGATCTTCTGGAGCTTTTCCCTAATTCGGATCCATGATGTGAGATCGTTTGGCCTTGATGAGTACCGCACCTTACTGGATAAAGGTTTTGCTATGTTCTCTATGCTAAATAAGATATGATGATACTGTTCAGGGTGGTTTTTAGAATTTGGTTTCTCCGTCTTGCAGTATCGTTTCAAAAGTCTTCAACCCTGGAAATTTCATGAGATACAATTATATCATCAGCAGAACGGATCCAAAAGTCTGATATTCTCAGATCTAATCATACAAGAATGAAATCAGTCATTAGGTTTTATAGAAAAACCTTGTGATGTGTGTTTCTGTGTACTATTCTTGTTAAATAAAAAGAGCAACAAATAACACTGAAATCTCCAATCAAATCATTATGCTGATCTTATCTGTAATAAGTAAAAAATATTTCCACTTGTCGTCAGACTTTTGGATCCTAAAGTAGATATACATAGACACATATATATAATGTCCTTGGTAACAAAAATTAAAAACACAGTTTTTTTGAGTGATGTGATATGCCAAGATCGTGCATGCAAGCTAACATAATTACTTCAGCATCTGATTTAATTACATTTTCATTATCTACAATTAACAAATATTGTAGATAATGAAAGCATGTGGCACATTCCAAGATGGCGGCATGTCTTTTTGTTGTGTTTGTTGAGCATGTGGTTGTCTAATTTTGTATTGTTTTCGTTTGTTTATACATTTTAAGACTCTACTTTTAGATATAAAAGAAGAATTCTAAAGGTTTTAGAAATTGAACAAGGGACCGTGTCAGATTTTGGACTTTCTGAAGCGGATCTTTCGCAACTGGATCTATGATGTGATCTCTTTTGGCCTTAAGGGATGACAAAGACGGGCTTTGGATCTTCTGGATCGTTTCCCTAATTCGGATCCATGATGTGAGATCGTTTGGCCTTGATGAGTACCACACCTTACTGGATAAAGGTTTTGCTATGCTCTCTACGCTAAATAAGATATGATGATACTGTTCAGGGTGGTTTTTAAAATTGGGTTTCTCCGTCTTGCAGTATCGTTTCAAAAGTCTTCAACCCTGGAAATTTCATGAGATACAATTATATCATCAGCATTTGAAACTGCTTCGGGAGAGGTTTCTGGGATTATACTGGACATTTTTAATCAACAGACTGTATATTGGGTTAAGATCAGGAATAAGTAAAAAAAAATGGCATCATTCCTTTTTGTATTATTTATTTTCTTCTTTATGACGAGCTGCAGTGGAGGTTTTCATGGAATAGAACAATTCCGTATAAGTTCTACACGCTGAGTTGATAATTGTCCGAAAAAGGGCACGCTAAATAACATAACGAGTGGTGCTTCACTATTTTCTTTATTTATTTGCTTAAATTCTGTGCACTTGATAAGGTTTGCCAGAATCATGGTTGTGCAAGAAAATTTTGTTGTTACTCCAGGTAGTTCTCATGTTTATTTGAGGACCTTAGAGGAGGAAAAATTATCCAAGAAATCTAGACTGCAGAGGGCGCTCATTGTACTGTTACTTTTGATTTCTGGAAATGTTCAACCGAATCCAGGTCCTGATGTTGTCACAAGTTTTAACACACCTGCTGATTTCAAATCAATGACTGGTCTTGGGATTGTTCATTTAAATGTTCGCAGTTTACTCACAAAGTTGGATATGTTACGTATCTGGGCAGATACAACTGATTGACTTCCAACTCCAAAAAGTCTGAGATCTGAACAAGTTTCATAATGTTAAATCCACAAGAAAAGTTGAACTCCGTTTCATAGCACAAATGTGCTCAGTCGGTGAACCAACATTAGTCTGACATTAAAATAAGCCCATGCCAGTATTTTTGAGACGCATGTCATTTCTGTCGAGACCACAGGTGTTCTCCCACGGATGTCTCAACTGCTCGGTTTGCTGGGGAAAGAACTAAATATGGGGTAGTTAATTGATGAAGTGAAACAGGTCTGCACTGACTTTCAGCTATCGGTCATCATGATGAGGTCTCCATTTAATGAGGCAGAAATGCAAGCGGGCTTGATCGCCATTTTAAGGCACTGAAAGTTACAGTACTAACTCAGTATTACGGAGTTCTGGGGAAGTTTCCAAAGAACTGTCACTGTCAATTTTTTTCCTGTTTATAAAACTTAGTTCAACATTAATGCTAAACCCTAACCTTACACTTCAAAGTGTTTACTGCACAAAATAATAATAAAAAATAATAATAAAGCATTTAGGTAAAGCATTTTTTTTAGGTTATGTTTTTGAAATGCTACAAGGGTATAACATGGATTTTCATACTTGTGCCACTTTAGCACCATGGTATACCAGAAAAGTCAAAGTTGACTCTTAAAGTATGCAATTAATTAAACATGTTTAACATGGACTGGAGTGGTGTGGATTACTTGTGGATTATTGTGATGTTTTTATCAGCTGTTCGGACTCTCATTCTGATGGCATACATTCACTGCATTGGTGACCAAGTGATGGAATGATACATTTCTCCAAATCAAATTTACATTTGTGGGTGACCTATTCCTTTAAAAACAGGTTTTAGCCATTTTATTCATCAACTTTATCAGATTTAGCTTACTTCTGCTGCCATTTTAGTATGGCAAGAAACACACAAGCACAAAAAGGTACTGACTTTTTATTTTCCATGGCAGAGACAAAGGAAGTCTGGAAGTGGCCAGTGGTGAGCAGATCTGGAGTGGTGTGTCCCTGGAACAGCAGACCGTCTTTGGCCATCTTCACCAGAATGAGTCTGACCAGCTCCCCTAAGTACATCCCACTAATCATCTTCTCAAACCTGCACAAAAACAAAAAAATGCAGCACGTAGAGTCAGGTCAATGAACATGATGAACATGTATGTCATGATACAGTGTGACGTATGGGGCAACGGTCGCCTAGAGGTTACTGATCCCACGCTGGGGCAACCCGTGAACTGGAGAGATCCCCAATCATCATTTTTCACTTGAGTGAGATACTTAACCCCAGGTTTCTTCAGGGGACTATCCCTGTAATCAGGGGTGTGGGAAATATTTGTGAAAAAAGGAGGAGGTGGTATGTTCACACAAATGATGATTATTATCTGGAGACATGTCCTTGAAAGTAATTAATATAGAGGAGACTGGGGTCACTCGCAACAAGATTTTATCTCGGCTATAAGGCTGGCAGCAAGTGTGACAAAAATATTAAATAAAAATTGGATTTAAAGCTTTAGAACATGCAATGAACATTTCTTCTCAGAAAATTCAGCCTTGCATCACAAGAATACATTACATTTTAAAATTATTAAATTAATATTTCAAAATATAAATTACTGAATTTTTGAATAGCACGATAATAAATGCAACCTTGACGAGCATAAGAGACTTCTTTCAAAATTTTTTTTAAAAGATATTACCAACCACAAACTTTTAACTTTATAAAATATATATTATATTATATACTATATAATAATATGGGGGGGGGGGGGGGGGGGGATTAAATT